GGCGGTGCGCCGTTGTCACACGAGGAGGGTCAGCAGGGCGCCAGCAGCGGCGCTGTGGTCAGCCGCTGCGGCATCGGCAGCACCAGCACGGGGACTGCGGTGTTGTGTGTGGCAATTCACGCCTCTGGCGTCGAGATGAGTACGCCGCTACTGGTTGGGCGGGACAGCAGCCGCAGCCGCCGCAGCAGCAGCAGCGGTGGCGCCAAGCCCGCCGGGGATGACATGATTGCCACAGCGGTGGCCAGCGGCCTTCGGGCAAACGACGGCGGCCGCGCCGTTGTGGCCGGCCTTGTGACGCGCCCCAGCAGCGGCAGCGGCACCGACGGCATCGCCAACAGCAAGCAGAACAGCGAAAGTTCAGGAGATCAGGAATGCCAGGCAAGCAGCGGCAAGGCAGGGGCCGGCCCGGCCAGAAGCAGCAGCTGCAGCACCACCAGCTGCTGCTGCACGCTGCTGCAGCCGGTGGTGGTGGCTGGCACCATCAGCAACACCAACAGCGGCTCGAGCCACACGCCTCGGGGGCCCGAGCAGATTGGTGATAGCTGCACAGCGCTGCCCGTGCTGCTGCGGCTCAGCAGCAACAGCATATGCAACAGCAACAGCACCAGCAACAGCATCAGCAACAGCAACAGCAACAGCGACAGCAACAGCATCATCAACGGCAGCAAGCTGCGCGGCGCAGGTGATGATGGTGACAGCGCCTCCGCGGCAGACGCAGACGAAAGCGCGACCGAGAGCTGCCTAGGAACGGCCGCCAGCGGCCTTATCAAGCCCCCTGGTCCACAGGGTGCGCACTGCCCTTGCAGCAGCAACAGCCTCTGTATGAATGCAGGCGAGTCTGAGCTGCGCGGCCGCGCGGCTGCTCTGCCTGCTTGCCTCATGCGGCGCGCCAAGGCGGCGAAGGCAGTGGCGGCTGCGGCTGCGGCTGCCAACAGCCGAGGCACAGCAAGGGTGTTGTGCTGCGACACGGACCTGGGCTGCAGCAAGATTGATGGGAAAGTGATAGGGAAGAGGATGAGTTGCAGCGGCGGTGGCGACGGCGGCGGCGACGGGAAGGCCACCGCAATGCATGCCCAGCTGCTGCCGCTCATGCGGGCGAAGGCGGGGGTTGCTGCCTTTGACGGCGGCGCCGGCCTGCGCACCGCCTTGGAGCGCGGCGATGGTGCTGATAGCAGCACAGCCGAGAAATGGGATGCCTGCGCCTGCCCCCACACCGAGGGCAGGCCGGTGGCCGGGGCTCTTGTCGCTGCTGTGCGCGACGAGCCCTCGGCGGCGGGCGATGCGGCCCCGGCGGTGGGCGGCTCGCGCCCCGCGCCTGCTTGCGGGTGCTTGCCCTTCCTGGGGCTGCCCGACCGCTGCGCCAGGGCAGATGGGCAGGGGGATGCAGGTGCCAACAAGACCAGTAGCAACGGCGCGAGTGGTGGCGACAGCGGCGGCGGCAGCTGCGGCAAGGGCCTGCAGCAGGGCAAGAAGTGGTTCAAGGGGATGATGGGGGAAGTGAAGGCTGATATGTTGCAGGGGATGGCGCATGTGAAGCGCAGCCTGAAGGCGGCCCTAAGGGGCGCCAAGCAGGCGCTACTGCAGGCGGGGGACTCTGATGCCGAGGACCCGTCAGCGACGGCTGCCAGCTCCAGCAAAAGCGGCAGCATTGGCAGCACAGGTGGTGCGCCGGGTTGGGCGCATATTGGCGTTCTTTGTATGGGGGCCTTGGCACCACGCCCTATGCATTTCTGGGTGGGTGGGTTTCAAGGGTTAGGCATGGCACACTGCACCAGCGCGGGTCTGCGTGGGCCCATGGCTTTGTCGTGAGTCCTTTCTTTTCTTGCATCTTTTGGGGTTGGGGTCTGGTCCTGTCAAGTTCCTGAGTTCCCTGGTCGCTTTTAGGCACAAGATGCGACTGATCAATGCACGTGGTGTCCTTTTTCAAGTGTGTAGCCACCCGCCCCGCGGTGGCGGCACACACAGCTCCTGCGAGTTGAGCAGCTGCATTGCTCCTTGCATGGCGCCTTGCCGCCCACTTGGGGCGCTTCGATTATCAGCGGTAACCGCGCCAACCAGTCCTTAAAGGTCCTGGAAACGCAGATGCACGGCGACCCACTTCCTGGTGACTCCCAACCAACCCACAGAGGGGCTGCCAAGGTGGACAGTGGTGGAAACGGCCGGGCAGGGGCTATGGGCTGAGGCTCTTGCCATGAGACTATACTGCCCAGAGACTTCCAGTCAAGTGTGCATGGCTGCGTCAAGCGCTTTGCTGTGTTTATGTGAGTCATCAGGTCAGGGGTCGCGCCCCTCCCTCCACTAGAAGTCGACCTGTGGCAAGAGGCGCTCAGGGCTCAACCCAAGTAACAAGGGGTGCTGGGCCGGATGTGCTCAAGCCTTGCAAGAACACACTCAACGCCCCGCGGGTTGGTTGGGGGCGCAGACGAAGGGCGGGCGAAAATACGCAGGAGCTCCGTAGCAACACAAGCAGGAGTGCAGCAAACTGCACAACAAAGAACAGCAGCCAAAACAGGCACAGGGGTGTCACACGTGGCCTTAAAAAGCAGGGCGGGCAGGGCAGACATCAAAACAGGCTGCTTGACCCGTGCCACATCAAATCAACACCAGCCGGCAAGGCGTCTGGCCGCGGTGCCAGCTCAGCAACCCCTGCGGCGCGTCACAGCGCGCGCAGCGCCCCCAGCTTCTTGAAGATGCCGGTGGCGCTGGCCAGCAGCTGCTCCGCGCCGCCGCCCTCTGGCGCCGCCTGCAGCACCGACACGTCCACCTCCACAGACGCCTGAACGCGAGTGGGTTGTGGAGTGAGGAAGGGCGAGCCGCTGGTTTCAAAGAGGCAGATGGGGCAATCACGGCGGAGGGCTGGCAGCCACGGAGGCGGTGCACATGAGGCTGGTGTCTGATCTTCCTTTGGCTAGTGCATGCATCCTTAATGCATGGAGGCGTCATGCGTGGGGGCGATGGGGCAGGGTGGGGGCACAAGGTACAGCCGCCAGGTGGGGCACCCCCTTGCTGAGCAAGCCAGGCCCCAAAACGAGGTGCACACGCCGACGCGTGCATGCACGCGCACCCCCACGTGAACACCACACCCACACATGCACATGGGAGCGTTCGTGCTCAAACGTGCACCCTCCCTCCCTCCCTCTCTCGAAGTGTCTCTCCCCCCCTCCTTGTCACTACGCTCCCAGCACGCACTATCCTCACCTTGCCGACACCTGGCTGGCTGCCCTCCTTGATCTCAACCACGCTGCTGCGCACAACCAGCGGCACACCTGGCGGAGCAGGGGCCTGGTGGGGCGGGCGGGGATGGATGCAGGCCGGAAGGGTGCGGACGCGCAAGCATGACGTCGCCGTTCGTCACCAGGCGTTGCGCCGCACCGTCACCGTCCACACGCAGTCGGGGGTGCAGCCACGGCACCACACCCGCATCCGGGCTCAAAGTGCCCTTCAGTTTTTGGGGTCTGACGAGTATATACTGTGATGCTCAAACCCCTCAAGCGCCCCATCCACAGCGGCCCCACCTTGAACGACACGAGTATGGAGGCAGTGAGCGTCAGTGGCGGCGCGGGGAGGCAGCTGCGGTCCATGAGGGCTATGGCGGCCGTCCAGTTGCCGTGGCCTGTGGAAGAGGCCAGGGAGCGGGGTTGGGAGCGGCAGGGTCACCAGAAGGGCGAGAGCCGCCCAGCCCAGCGGCGTGCCGCGGCTGCCTGAGCGGCCTACAGCACGCCTATCGGAAACAAGGAGATTAGGCCGCTGCGTCTGGAAAGCTTCCGATCGCTGACGGTCGCTGCGGCAGGGGTGCGCTGCAGCGCCGCAGCGCTGCTGCACTGCGCAGAGACTGCCCGACCGGCCGCGTGTCGCCCCCCCCTCCTCGCCCAAAGGGTCGCTCACAGTCCATGAGCGTGCTGATGATTCCGCCGTTCACGATGCCTGGAGGGTTTTGCAGAGTCGCATGCAACGCTGCATCTTGAGGCGGCTGGCGCTTGAGAGCCAACGTAGGGCAGGGCGCAGCCGTTTTCTTTTCTTCCGGCCATAGCGAGCCGGCTGGCGGCGCGCCGCCATGCACGCAGCACGTTGACCGGTCAAGGAGGAGCGCCAGGCACTACAATCCAATGCGCCTGCAGCCTGGGTCTCATATGACATCAGGGATCAGAGGCGTCGCGGTGGCTGCGCCCTTGGCTCACCAGGGAATGCGCAATACTTTTCGGGGATCACTATCCGCGCTTCCAGCCCGTTGCGCACCCGGAAGCTCTGCAGCTTCAGCCCATTCTCTGCGGATGGCCCACAGCCCCAGCATGTACTGCTCGGCGTGTACGCGTCCTGCAGGGCCGCGGACGGTTGGGGGCGGTTGGCGGCGGTTGGGCATGAGCCGCAGCATTTGCGAGGCCCGCAGCTGCGTCCGCCGCTGCAGCTGCAGGGCTCCATGCCTCGCCACGCTCACATGGGGTTTATTCGCACCACTTCCAGCCGCCGACGCCTGTGCTGCCCCGCCCCTGCTGCAGCCCAAGGCAGCCACTGCTGCAACCCCAAGCACACTTGCGATCGCAGCCCCAGGCCCATGCTGTGACTGGCGCCCCAGCCCGAGGCGCCTCCCACCTGCACCGCCAGCTCCTCCCCTTCCAATGCCATGCCCGCCTCTGCAGCCGGGTGCAGCTGGCTGTTGCAGCTGCGTTTGAATTGTGTGCGTGCACGTGCGAGAGCGTGTGCATGAACGTGCGTGTGTGCGTTTGTGTGTGCATGTGTGCGTGTGTGTGTGAATCAGGATTGTGCGCAAGGGAGGCTGCACACTGCGATCGCTGGAGTCAGGGGTTGACTGCGGACGATCAGCCTTAGGCGCACCGGCGGCGAGCGCAGGCACGGCACAGACGGAGGCGGAGGCTGGTGAGCCACGAGCAAGCTCCCAGGTCACTCGCCGCAGTGTAGCGCTCACGGGTTGATCTTGTGGCCCTGCGACTTCATCCACTCCCACCGCGTGCGCTCGTCGGCCGCTTTGCTGCCAAACGCCCTGGCTGGGCCCCGCCGGAGCCACCGCCCTGACGGCTGCTGCTGCGACTGCTGGTGGTGCTGTTGGTGTTGCTGGAGTTGCTGCTGCTGAGTCTCCCGCGGTGCCCAGGCCGCTGCTGCTGCGGGCGCCAGCGCCGCTGATGAAGCACACGACACAGCGGGAGCAGCGGCGTCGGGGCTGCTGCGTGCCACCGCCTTGGCGAGCAACGTGCCCGCCGCGCGCCCGACCTTTTGCATGGTTGCTGCTGTTCCTTCTGACAGTACTTTTGTACCTTGACAAGAGTTGGAAAAGGCACGCAACCGCTGGATCGCGAACAGTCGAGCTTTGCTTCTTGGATCTTTATAGGTATGCACATCACTTGGATCAAAGCTACTCCCGAAAATCAAAGGCGGCGTACATCACCTGCAATCTGCGCCGCGAGATCATTCATGTTGTTGTCACCAGCAACGTCACCCAGCTTACCGAACAGCTCGTCCTGACGTACTGTGCGAGCTAGTATCTCTGTTATATGCGCGAAACCTCCTCCCCTTCACCGTGCAGCTAACATATTGGCTTGCTCGACGTCTCGAGTGGCCTCAAACGCTCGTGCCTTGTTGCTGAAGGAGGCCAATTCACGTATATACGACTTAGCCCTAGCTACCCGGCAGCTTGCCCCCAGCGGCGGCCCTTGGCGTCGCGGCAGCCGCTTCGACTTGACGCGTGCGCTCTCGCCGCAGCGTGATCCGCCGCCAGCAGCAGCTGCCCCACGCGACCGACGCCCGTGCACCCAAAGACTCACTCTAGCTCCACCCAAAGAAGCGGGGCGGCGGTCTCGTTCCGACGACCCCAGCGGCAGCGGCGGCGAGGGGGCGGACGCGGCAGCGGCGGCGCGCTGACCGGGCACCATGGGAGTCCCGGCGTTCTATCGATGGCTCAGCGAAAAGTATCCCAAAATTATCGTCGACGTGAAAGAGGAGCTGCCAGAGTGGATCAATGGGGTGGAGGTGCCGGTGGATACGTCCACGCCCAACCCCAATGGAATCGAGTTTGACAATCTGTACTTGGTGAGAAGGTTTTTCCGGGCGGCCGCCGACGCACTGCAAAGCGGGCGCAGCGCCGGCGCAGGGGCCGGCCTGCGTTCGTCTGCAGTCGGTACGGGGGGACGCGTCGCTCGCGTGGGTTGACGGCATGCACGGGTTGTCCCTTGTAGCCGGCACACCGGCGTGGTGGCCCTCAGGCGCCGCGCGCTCGCCCTGATGCGGCCGGAGGCCAGCACAACGCGCATGCCGGGGCTGGCAGCAGCGACGCTGCCGAAGCTGTGACAAGGGGCGGCGGCGGCGCACTTGCAAGGATCAGCATGCATGCGGGACCGCTGACAGCTGCCGTTTTCAAACGACCGTTTGAACCACCCACTTTTGCGCCAGGACATGAACGGCATCATCCATCCCTGCTTCCACCCCGAGGACAGGGTGAGAGGCGCGGCTCTGGGGCGCAAGGGGCCATCGCTGGCCAGTTGTCCCGGGGCCCACCAACGCTGGCGGCGCCCATGGGCGGCAGCGCCCATCTGCCCTGCCTTGCGTTGCAGGCACCATGCGTCGCGCGACCTCACATGCTATAAACAACCACTCTGAGTCTGGGTTCATCACACCCCCCTCCCCTCTCCTCTCCCTCCACCCCCCAGCCGGCCCCCACCACCGAGCGCGAGGTCTTCCTGAACATCTTTGACTACATTGACCGGCTCTTCGCCATGGTGCGCCCCAGGAAGGTGCTCTACATGGCCATCGGTGAGCCGCTGGCGATGCAGGCGCGACCTGGGTTTCCATCATATTGAGGCGATGCCGGCTGCGGCGACGGCTGCGGGCTGCGAGCGGCGGCCGTTGGGGATTACGCCTGGACTGGCACTCTGGTCGTGACGTACCACATGCACTGCGGCCCAGAGATTTTGGTGTCGTGAGTCAGCAGTGGTCCATGCGAGCCATTGCTGGCCTCCCGCCCTCTCGCCGATTCACCACGCAGACGGCGTGGCGCCGCGCGCGAAGATGAACCAGCAGCGCTCGCGGCGCTTCAGGGCGGCCCAGGAGATGGAGGAGAAGGTGGGTCACCGCCTTCCAGGGTCTTGGGGTCTCGGGGTCTTGTGGTTTGGGGGGTTTCGGGGTTTCAGGGTTTTTATGTGCAGCTCCTCGTCCTTTTGTCGGAGGCGCTGAGGGACGCGGTGTGGGTGGCCCCGGAGGCGGAGGCGCTGCCTCTGTCTGGCTGAACCAGACGCCAGGGTTTTTTGCAGGGGCAGCCACCTGACGAAGCCATGGGCCCTGGCATGCCGCCACGGCCTTGCCGCTGCTGGATCTGAAGCCGCGGTCAACTGGATGTATCGGCGGCCCGCCGCCGCCCGGCCCCCGCCTGCGCGTGGTCCCTGCCGTCTGTGGATTTCTTTTGGGGAGAAGAAACCCCAACGCATGAACCCTGATTTATGTGCGACCGCAGGAGGCGGAGGAGGAGCGGCTGCGAGAGGAGTTTGCAAGACAGGGCATCGTGGTCCCCAGGAAGGAGCGCTCAGAGATCCACGACTCAAACACCATCACGCCGGGTGAGGGGCGGCGGCTGCCAGGGGGAGGGATGGTGGTGTTCTCAAGAGGGTGTGTTGGCGGCCCGCCGTGTGCGCCCCCTCGTTGGGCCAGGCTGGTGTTGGCGTGGCGTCTTGCGGTTGTAGATAGATGGGGGCGGGATGGCCGAAGGTTGTCAGACGCGAGCCTGCACTTGCTTCCGCATACGTGTGTGCGTGGGACGTGCACGGCCGCGTTGCACGGACAAGCAATCGCCTGGAAACGCTGACGTCACCATGCGCCTTCCGCATGACATGCAACAAGGCACGCCCTTCATGCACCGCCTGAGTGTGGCGCTGCAGTACTACGTCCACACGCGCCTCAACGACGACCCGGGGTGGAGGGACATCGAGGTGCGGTGGCGCTTCCTCGTACGTCTTAAGCTGATTTGGTCTTAAATTATCTGCCATCCATCTTTCAGGACGCGGCGCATGCAGTGTGGGGTCCCTCCTCTGTGCTGTTCTCTGCCAAGTCGATCAGCTTCTGGACCTGGTTATTCCACACGCACCCCAATGAGGCCTAAGGCAAACTTCCCTATTCGCCTTTTTTGCCCCAAACCATCCCTTTCCCACCCAAATGACCTAAATTGTCAAACATCACCCCCGCAGGTGATCCTGTCTGACAGCAACGTCCCTGGGGAGGGCGAGCACAAGGCCATGGCGTTTGTGCGAGAGCAGCGGGGGCGGCCCGGGTGGAACCCCAACACGCGGCACTGCATGTATGGGCTGGATGCTGACCTAATCATGCTGGCCCTGGCCACGCACGAGCCGCACTTTGCGATCCTGCGTGAGGTGGGTGGGCCTGCTGTGTGGAATCTTTGTTTTCCACTGCTTGGGTGTGGGTAGAGTGTTTGTGATTGTGTGAATGTCTGTGTGTGTGTGTGTGCAGGTGCAGTGTTTGTGATTGTGTGAATGTCTGTGTATTGCCAGCGATCCTGCATTACTCACCACAACTAAGGATCAGGTCAACCTAAACCCCAAACCACCCCAGGTGGTCTTCCAAAAGAACGCGCCGCCTGGCGGGGGCGGGGGCCGCCACGACCCCTCCAAGCCCCTCATCCCGCTGCCTGGCCAGGAGGCGGAGGAGGAGGAGCAGAAGCCGGAGATGGTGCGGGGTTGGGGGCGGATTTGGGGCGGCGTTTGGTTGGTTTACGGGGGCAGGGGAGGGGGGCGGCCGCGGCTCTGCAATAAAACAAGCGGCGCTCGAGGATTTCCATCTTCCCGCGGCGGGGATCGGTTAAGCCATAGCGCACGCACGCTTGCATGGACAATCACATACACACATGTGGCTTGCGCACACACAACTCAACACGGTTCCCCCCCCCCCAGACATACACACACGCACATCTTCCAGACTCGCACGCGCACCCAACCTGCACACACGGACCCCCCCCCACACACACACGCACAACTCCCTCCCGCACACACTACTCTCAGGTGCGCAAGCCCTTCCAGTTCCTGATGGTCAACGTGCTGCGCGAGTACCTCGCCCTGGAGTACCGCATCCCCCGCATGCCCTTCCCCTTCGATGCGGAGAGGGTGAGCGCGGCGGCACACCGCCCCACCCCGCGGCAGGACGCCCGGATACCCGGCAGTCCCTTTGTCACATGCACATACGGACACCAAAGCAGACACTCCAAGTTTACACAAACACACATCGAACGCACTGATACACAACGCACACACGCACCAGCACGCACACTGAAACTCTCACACACTCCCAACCCAAAACCCTGAACCCCGATCCACCCCCAGATCTACGACGACTTTGTGTTCATGTGCTTCTTCGTGGGCAACGACTTTTTGCCCCACATGCCCACCCTGGACATCAGGGAGGGCGCCATCGATCTCATGATCAAGGTCTACAAACAGGTGCGCATGCGCGCGCGCGCGTGTGTGTGTGTGTGTGTGTGTGTGTGTGTGTGTGCGCGCGCGCACATGTGTGTGCCTACGTGTGTGTGTGTGTGTGTGCTTGTCTCGCTGTTTGCATGTACTTGTGTGTGTTTGTCCTACCTGCCATGTGTCAAGTCCTTCCAAGCGCGTGACGGCAGGAGATCGCGTTCCAATGAGGCCCGCACATGGATGGCAATTTGCACACGCCCCTGATCGATTTCGCCTGGCACCCATCACAGCCGAAGCCTGATTTTCCAGCCGACCCAAACCTTTCGCTCAAGAACGCACGCAAGCACCCACTCACCCACCCCTTCTTCCCCTGCAATGCTCATGCACACACGCACACCACCCCCCCCCCCACCC